TAATCTATATTGGGTGAGTACCTCGCCTCGGCTGTAAAGAACATATTCTGTTTAATAATAAGAATAAAATCTGGAAGAACTTCTTTTAGCTGTCGCAGTCGATACATAGAGTGGATGATCAAATGCTAATTTCTTCATCGATCATTCTTGCCATCTTCATGTACATGTTCTGTATGAATTATATGATACAAGATATGGACGATTGCAGAGACGGTATTTTCACAGCTTTGTAAGTTCCAGTATAATTCCTCCGTTATTAGCAGTTGTCGATTCGTGCACATACCGGAAATTATCACTTTATATATTTTGTTCCACTGGAGAGCGCATTATTCAATTGAAATTTGTAGATACAACAGCGAATGGTACAGAACGCCAGTAACTATGCAAAAGTTGTTACTGTTCATGATGTTAAGAACACTAAAGGGTGGAATGTTCAATGTGCTGGTTGTGTTCAGACCATCATTCGAATGTTTCGCGACTGTACTTATCGCTTCAGATTGCTGAATAATAAAAATCTCACAGTACCTCGATTGTTTGTATCTGTATTTTCAGTTACTAAGGATGTCAGTATCCTATTTCATGGTGATGTACTCCTTCCAGTGATATCGTTGACAAATGATAATGGATTAACCGTCATAGGAAGTTTGTTGATCGACAAATCACTTCCATTGTTCTGCGATGTAAGATTCTTTTCATTGCACTATTCAATAAACGTTCATTTGTGAGGAAACCAGTCTGAATTGAATGTTATAAATCGGAATTACCTTGCAAGCACTTTACCTCTTTGACACGTATCATTCTCGTTGTACACATCCGCACGTTCGAACTACACGGAGCCGACTGAGCGCTGCTCGAGGAACAATTTCACCAGCCTATACATCGTGAGTGGGTGACAATTTGTAAGAAAAATTTGTTTCACGCTTCCCCTCTTCTGCAACCTGTAATCTTTCTAATAACTGCGATTACGTGATAAGGGGCGAAAATTGATCGACTTGTCATCATTTAGACATGAACACCTAATAGTGGCAATTGTAGCTGTAGGGAATATAATTATCCAATGGGCGGTTACTGGTTGGACAGGGGAATCATCAATAGCACTTGAACCTCCTTACACGATGAACCTGATCTTATGGTGAGGTATTACAATATATTTTTTGTACGTCCTTAAATTTTAATTACCAATCTTCTGGACTTAAGTAATTCTTAGATAAAGGGCAACTGAAAGGTGGGTAAGAAGCGATGAGTTTAACCTCTTAAGCCGGGTATTCATCTGAGCACGAATGCGAACGAGGCAAAGCGAGGCCGAACGAGCATACATATGTGGACGTGTATCCGAGGCGCGGCAAACTGCATTCGGCTGTTCGCCGCACAGACTGAGGCATTCGGGACCCGAGCCGATCGGAGTCGGTACTTCAAAGAAAAATTTGGTTACGTATGGACGGCATTCGTGTACGTTCCACGTACCTTGCCTCGCCTTCAGTATATTTTTGATTTTATACACTATTTCTACCAAGCGGAATCATAAGACACCTTGTGAAATTTTCATCTAAAATTATTATCATTAGTTTAATCGTTTTTCTTCGATTTAATTAATTAATTTAACAACCAGTATAGGAAAAGTAAAAAATTTAATTGAGGAAAAGTATTAAACTAATAATAATAATTTTAAGCAGAAATTTCAGCAGGTACCATCGGTAGAAATAGTATTAAGATATCGCCAGATCGATGGCGATAAGGTCAGACAAGGATCTCTTGGAAACATTGACCTCTGGTGCTCAATCTATGTCGATATAAAGCAGTCTTCCACCACCGCTTTTTTTTCTTTCTTTTAATAATCCGGCAATTACCACGAAAGCAGCGCTGGCCACCAAACGATCGTCTATCTCGCTGGATCATCGTTCACTGCGTTCGCTGTGGATCACTGTCTCGTTCGTTGCCTCGGCAGACTTCGTTCGCGAAGAAAAATTTTACAAACGAGACAAAACGAGGCATTTGTTCGGACTCGCCTTGCCTCGTTCGCATTCGTGCTCAGATGAATACCCGGCTTTA